CCTCTAGTGTTTGAACATGGAACTGCATCCACCATCATCACCCCCAGGTAAAGGACAGGTGAGTGACAGGACAGGGACACTTCAGGGGGCCAATCAGATTTCAACAGGGGCCAATGCCCCTGRGGCCCCGCCCCTGCCTCCTGAGTTTTTATATTTTTTCCTAAAAGTTGATGTGAAACGTTTAAAGGTCCAAGTTTTTTCCTCCCCTACATAAATGTAATAAATGATTGGTTCAGCTGAAGCTGCAGCCTCATCTCGTCTCACAGGCTGCAGGTCAGCAGCGGCTTCTCTCCACATGGAGGCGCCGCTGACCCGCTTTGCACCGTCCCGGCTCGCGGCTCGCGGCTCGGGCTGACTGTAGGAGCAGGAGAGAGGAAAAAATAAAAAAATAAAACAAAAGTAGTGGAGCTGTTGGAGGAAGGGGGGCTGCGCGCTGAGGGTCTGCGGCTCAGATGCTCCCTGTGGATGGAGCTGAACGCACAACTTCTCTACCGTCCTCCCGCCGCTGCAGCTGCTGCCGGACTTCCCTCCAGAACCGGGGTCCTGTGACGAACCGAGCTGTGGACTTTACTTGTACCTGCCAGCATGCGTCCTGCAGCCCTGCTGCTGCTGCTGCTGGCCGCCAGGACCTGCGCGGACAGCACGGAACGAGTAACAGGTAAGAAGAGCTCGTGCGTCAGGACGCGCGGCTCCGCACCAACAACCAGAACTGCTGAGTTCTAAAACCTGGTTCCGAACTCACGGGTCCGTGGCAGGGCCGCGCGGACACGTCCTGTGGTTCCGAGCTGAAAAGTTGAGAAAGTGTTGTGTCTGTGAGGGTTCTGATGGTTCTGGTTCCTGTGGGCTCAGACCAGAACCACTTTTAGTTCTGATGGTTCTGTTGTGTTTCTGACTGGTTCCTGTGGACTCAGACCAGAACCAGTTTTAGTTCTGATGGTTCTGTTGTGGTTCTGATGGTTCTGGTTCCTGTGGGCTCAGAGCAGAACCAGTTCTGATGGTTCCTGCTGCTGCAGAACACAAGCTGCCAGATTAACTGTTTGATTTTTCTCCAAACATCAGGATTATTTATTTTTAATGATTTTATTTATCAGTAAATGTTTACAGCAGATATAAAATATAAAATATAGATTTAATGTTTCAACTTCAGCAAAAATAAA